AGTCTATGGCCATACCCCCTGAACGTGCCCCATCTCGTCTCATCTTGGAAGCTAAGCAGGGTCAGGCCTGGTTAGTACTTGGATGGGAGAAAGTGCTGCACAATAGCTGAAACGACCATGAAGGTAGTGTAAGACTGGGCATTGTTTTGCTCTGTTGAACATAAAACAACTCGATGGCAACATAATAACAGTACGCGAGCTGCATGTCAATACAAAATGTCAAGGGTGGGATTTCTGTAGAGCCCAAAGCAGGAAACTAAAAAGAGGGATTGGCAACAGAAAAGTGGGCGAAGGGAGATGTCAGACAGTGTAAGACATGACAAAATAATAATTTATAGATTATCAAGGGTTCATGAGGAAGTGGGGAGTGAGGAGAAAAATGAGCTGATACCAAGGGCTCAAGTAGAAAGAAAATGTTTTGAGAATGATGAAGGCAACAAATGTACAGTGCTTGACACAATGGATATATGTATGGATTGCGATAAGTTTTGTACTAGGCCCCAATATAATGATTTTTAAAAAGAAATCAATAAAAAGAGGGATTGGGCTCTTCTGAGTTATTATGGGTGACACAATTCAGCCAGTTCTGAGAGTACTCCCTCCCTCTGGAGTACGAAAGAGCAGAGTATCTCTAGAGTAGTGCAGAGGCAGACGATAGTCAAACTCAGGAAATGTACGGAAGGCCTTTACAATGTCCTTAGAAACAAACAAGAAGTCATTAAAATGCCTTGAGAGCAATGGCCTGAGACAATGAGAAAAGGTGAATTTAATCAGGAGACAGAGAGATGGGCAGAGGAAGTGAAATATAGTCAGTTTTCCTTTTCTACCTAACGGGGATAGAAAAAGATAACGAATACTTCACCCTGCTGCCATAAGTACGACCAAACTCCAAACAAACCCACTGCCATGGGGTCAATTCAAAAGCACACATATATACATGGCTTCTGAGGCTGTAAATCTTTACAGGAGCCGGCAGCCTCATCTTTCTCCCACGGAGCACTTGGTTCAGTTTTAATTGCAGTTTTCAGCAGCCCCGCACCGAACGCACAGGCTCCTTATACAACCATCAGTCAAGACAGATAAACACTGTTCCTTGGGATCAACCAGAAAGAACAACCAAAAAACCCAAATTCACAACCATGGAGCCGATGGCAATTCATAGCAACCCTTTAAGACAGGGCAGAACTGCACCGGTGGGTTTCCAAGACTGTAACTTGACAGGAGTAGAAAACATTGTTTTCCCCCACAGATAAGGCTGTTGGTTTCAAGGTGCCTGGATCACATACCAACTCATTACTTCTTAGAAATAAACAGTTAACCTTTTTAGTTCTGGTCCCCCAAATACACAGCATCTTCAGCATTTCTGTGTCCAAAGATATGATGTGACCTTTGTGAACATGATAAGTGACTACGTTGCTATTTCCCACATTGAAGATACTGGCACAAATTTAGAAATCTTGTCATCTATTTGGTTTGTATCTCTCCCTCCCCACCCACCCCTGTTGTATTTTTGCAGTCATCTGGTGAGCCAGTTCTGAAACTCCCTTGCATATTTTCTCTGCAAGTACTTGCTTTTTTAATAAGATGCTGTGGCTTCCAGGTCTGCTTTCTATGGGGTATAACCAGAACCCGAAGGTCTGGTGCAAAACCAACCCATTTGAAGGCAGTAAACACAGAGGACCCTGTTGTCAAAGTGGCGGTGGCTATGGCTGGATTAGCTTCTGACTTATGGTGACCCCGTGAATAATAAAGCAAAACACTGCACTTCCCCCATGACCTCACTGGTTGCAGATCAGACTGTTGTGATACGTAGGGTTCATTAGCTAATTTTCAGATAATCTTGCCAGGCCTTTCTTCCTAGTCCTTAGTGTGGAAGTTCCACTGAAACCTGTTCATCACCATAGGAGCAGGCAAGCCTTCACTGATGGGTGTATGGTGGCTGAACATGAAGTGCATTGGCTGTGAGTTAAACCTGAGTCTCCTGCAAAAGCCCACTGCTGTCAAGTCAATTCCAACTCATAGCAACCCTCTATAGGAGTGGTTCTCAACCTGTGAGTCGCGACCCAGTTGGAAGTCGAACGACCCTTTTACAGGAGTTGCCTGATTCATAACAATAGCAAAATTACAGTGATGAAGTAGCAATGAAAATAATTTTATGGTTGGGGTCACCACAACATAAGGAACTATATTAAAGGATCACAGCATTAGGAAAGTTGAGAACCACTGCTCTATAGCAGGCGTCCTCAAACTACGGCCCACGGGCCACATGCAGCCCGCCAACGACATTTATCCGGCCCACCGGGTGTTTTTGCCCCATTTGTTTTTTTTTACTTCAAAATAAGATATGTGCAGTGTGTATAGGAATTTGTTCATAGTGGGTTTTTTTTAACTAAAGTCCGGTCCTCCAACGGTCTGAGGGACAGTGAACTGGCCCCCTGTTTAAAAAGTTTGAGGACCCCTGCTCTATAGGGTTTCCAAAGCTGTAAATCTATTTGGGAGCAGATAGCCCCATCTTTATCCTTCAGAGTGACTGGTGGGTTTGAACCACTGACCTTGTGGTTCACAGCCCAACACTTACCTAACAGTGCCACCATGGCTCCTTGATCTTCATGAAAGGTGAGAATTGTATCACAGCAATCAGTTATCATAATCATAAACTAAAAACTTAAGGCCACTGAGTCCATTTTGACTCAAAATCACCCTTGAAAACAAAGTAGAACTGCCCCTTTAGGTTTCCAAGGCTATAAATCTTTACAGGAACAGAAAACGTCCTCTTTCTCCCTTTGAGTGGTTGGTGGCTTTGAACTACTGACCTTGTGGTTAACACCCTAATGTGTAACCATGCCACAGAGCTATCTTAACTTAGTTTAAAAAAACAAAAACAAAACAACACAAAACTCACTGGAATCAATTCAATGCTGACTCACAGCAACCCTACAGGACAGGGCAGACCAGTGCCTGTGAGTTTCCCAGACTAACTCTTTACAGGAATAGGAAGCCTCATGGAGCAGCTGGTGATTTTGTACCGCTGGCTTTGCCAATAGCAGTCCAATGTGTAACCACTTCCACCAGAGACTATAAAAGGGAGTTCATCTGACGGATCATCCTGGGTTCTAAGTTAAAGGGAGCAGAAGAGGGCATCCATGTCAGAGCCAAGAAGAGGGCTAGACAAAGTGGCAGCCTCGCGAACAAGATGGGAAATATAGGATGAGCACCTCACAAACCCTCTGTGGGAGGAGCAGTGGGGGGACACACAGAATGCAAGACCCAGCACGGAAGAAAGATCCCTCCAAAAGGCAGTCCTCGGAGCTCTTCGAACTAGAATGCTCAAGCCTAAGAATCCATTGACATGTACTTGAATCTAATAAAAGCGTGATGCAAAGGAAGACTGCAGAGCTAAAACAAACCCAGGATAATCTATCATCCCAAAGAATAAATTAGATGTGGCTAGAACGTTGGCTGAGGCCTGGCCCCACTCGCTTGACTGGTGGTTCTCAGAATGCCTGGCCAACAGCACCTGCTTCACCTGAGAAGGTGTTGGCTGTGACCAGCAGTCCATTTTGGCTCATTTTGCCCTGTGTGTCCAGAGAACAACTCCTGGTGGCATTTCTGGCCACGGTCTTTGTGGAAAGTAGCCCTGATGATGCAGTGGTGATGTACTCAGCTGCTAACCGAAGGCCCAGCAATTGGAACCCAGCAACCACTCTCTGGGTTCTGGAGAGCTGAGCAATCTGCTTCTATGCAGATGACAGCCATGGAGGAGCACAGGGAATGTGTGGCTGATTACATCCAAGAACGACCACCCCCTTTACCTTGGGACCAGAAGAACGGTGTAATGCCCAGCTGCCATTACTGAACACTTTGATCAAAGATTCCATAGAAAAATCCTGATCAGAAAAGGGGAAAATACAGAACAGATTGCCAGTCCTCCAGATTTTCTGGGGCCTTGGATGGTTGGATGAACCCGAGGCTATTGTCCTGAGATCATCTGGAAACATTATATCTAACATTGCCATCAGATTCTTCTTAAAATCAAAACAATCGTTTTACTTAATTAGTAATTATCTGCTTTAAACAATGCACCCTTTTAGAACTGCTTGTATGGGATCAAATTGGCAATACAACTCACAAAGCGAGATGGGAGCCTTGCGGGCAGTGAGTTTATGTCAATGGGGAGGAACAACTCCGAAAGGAGGGCGAGCTTGACGCCACAACTCAATAAATAATGTCACTAAATTGACCAAGTACAAAGTGTTGAACCATCATGTGTTTTTCTGTGTATATTCTTAAAATTAAAAAAAATAAAATAAGATTACAGCCTTGAAACCCCATTGGGCCATTCTAACCTGTCCTATAGAGTCAGTATCAGTTGGAATCAACTCAATGTCAAGAGGTTTGCTGTTTCACTTTCATGGAACCTGGATGGCAGACTTTTCTTCCGTGGCACCCCTGGTTAGACTCAAACCTCTAGGCTTTAGGTTATTAGCTGAAGACAAACCCTACGTGCCACCCAGGTGCCTTGTTAGAAAGACTACTTCATAGGCCCAATGCCAGACCAATTGAATCCGAAATTCTGGGGAGGAGACACATATCAAAAACCCCACACCAGCAGCCCTCAAATAAATTCCAACTCATGGCAACCGACCTCACATATGGCAGAGTAGGACTGTGCTCCACAGGGTTTTCAATAGCTGGCGCTTTGGAAGTAGGTTGCCAGCCCTTTCTTCTGAGTTACTCAAGCCTGCAGCCTCTAGGTTAGCAGTTGAGCACTTCACCATTTGTACCACCCAGGGAGTCAAGGAAAACCTGCCCTCCTGGCGGTCCTGACGCATGCAAAAATTTGAGAGCCACTGGCCTTACCTTCTTTTCCTCTTGGATTAAATCGTTTTTGGTAGAGCGAAATCATTCCATCTTAGATTCTAGAACTAGAGACCTTTCTGACACGGAGATTCTGATCGACACTTAGTGAACAGAAAGGGAAGCAGAATCCGTTCTTTCATGTCACAGATGTTTATTTAGCACTGAGCTTCAGCACAGACATTTACCAGTTCTGGACGACTTTGTCCCGGACCAGCTGGCCATGAGGCTCAGTAGCATCTGGGGGCAGGAGGGCCAAGTAGACGGGCGTCTCGGCCCCCTCCTCCACAGTCCTGGAGCCGTAATCCCCAGCCATGTCAGTCTTCACCCAGCCAGGGCAGCAGGCATTCAGCAGAATCCGGTCGGCTTTTCTCTTCGCGTCCAGATTCCTGGCCTGGATTCTTGATAAGACTGTGACCCCCAGCTTGGACATGCCATAGGCTGAGCTGGGCCAGCCCTCCCGCTCATGCACTTCGTTTTTCGTATCCTCCACAAACTTCTTCATGAGGTCCACCAGGTCCTCCTCCGTCAGTGTCTCACATCGGAACTTCTCCTGCAGGTCTTCTCTGCAGTTCTCCAGAGCTTTTGAGCCCTGCAAACTACTGATATTCACGACCCGGCCTGAAATAGAACAATAGAAGTGGGGAAACGAGTCATTGATAAAACTACCATTGGTTGACTAGAACGCATCATGCTTGGTTGTGGATTGGGGTCAACTGCTGATATCAACCAAATATTCCAGAAGGCATAAGATCTGCACCACCAGTGGATTTCAACATTGCTGACACCTCTTTTTCACTGACTAGAGAAGCTCTGGTGCTGCAGGGGTTAAGCACTTGGTGACTAATTCGAAGGTTGCTGGTTCAAACCCACCAGCTGCTCTGTGGGAGAAAGATGTGGTAGTCTGCTTCAGTAAAGATTCACAGCCTTAGAAACCATGTAGGGCAGTGCCAGTCTCTCCTACAGAGTTGCAGTGAGTAGGAATCAATGTGATGGCAATGGGTTCCATTGGCAAATTTTTAGAAGTAGGTCTCCAGGCTGCTCTTCCTAGTCTCTTAGACTGGAATCAAACCCCCTGCCACTGAGGAGATCCCAACTCCTAGTGACCCTAACTATATAGGGTTCCCAGGCTGTACATATTTACAGGAGCTGATTGTTTCCTCTGTCTCCCTCAGATCAGCTGGTGGGTTTGAACTGCTAACCCTGCAGTCAGCAGCCCAGCACTTAACCAACAGTTCCACTATGGCTCTTTCTTAGTCTGGCAACTCTGATGACATCATCCACCACAGGTGACCTTGCTGGTCTTTAAAATACCGGTGGCATAACTTCCAGCACACTGCAATGTGTGAACATCTGCCCGTGGTGAAGAAGTATTGCACATGTGGAGTAGGTTGATTCTCCATCCTGGTTTTGACTTCTACTATCGTTTGGCCAGAGCTAATAAACGAATAGATATTGGTGATGGTTGCATAGCATCATGATTCACGTAATTAGTCTCACTGAATTGTGCATGTGAAAAATATTGAAATGGAAAATATGTTATCTATATTTTTACAACAATAAAAGCCCTTAAGATTGTCAACAAAGAGTAACAATATTGGCTCATCAGTTGTAACAAGTGCACCACAGGAATGTGGAGCAGCAGATGGGATAATGTTGTGGTTTCTGCACAATTTTTTTCTGAAAATCTAAAACTGCTATAAAAAAATAAAGCCTATTATTATTTTTTTAAGATAGGCAATTGAGTCCCATTTTGGGGATTTCAAGTTGGAATTCAACTGGTGGTACAGTTAATGCCCTCAGCTGCTAACCCGAAAGTTAGAGGTTCAAGTCTACCCAGAATCATGTCAGAAGCAAGACCCTGGCAGTCTACTTCCAAAGGAACCCCATTTTACTCTGACACAGAGTCAGAGTCCACTCCCTGCAAATGGTTTGTTTAAGAGACAGGCCCATAAAAACAAATCTATAGACCCCAAAACTCCACTGGAAGCATTTCTGAACATCAAAAACTAGTAAACATGCTGAGTTTACACCCTCCACCTAGCACCAAAAAACCATCAATTTTCAGATCATTTTTATTAAGGAGCTCTGATGTCTTAGTGAGTTCTACATTCGGCTGCTAATTGCAAGGCAGCGGTTGGAAAGCACCAGCCATTCGGAGGGAGAAAGATGAGGCTTTCTACTCCCATAAAGATCGGCAGTCTGGGAACCCACAGGGGCGGTTCTACCCTGTCCCCTGGGGGCGCTCAGCGTTGGAATTGACTCGCTGGCAGTGAGTGAATTTCCTTTGTATTGTGCGAAGTAGCAAGGTAACAGAACATCTGCCATTTCTGCAATCTTCACTTGTACAATTCAGTGGCATTAATGAAAATCACCATGTATAAAACCATCACCATTAAGTGTTCCAGAATTTTCCCATCACCTCAGTGGAAGGCCGGTGGTGTCCTGGGGTTGTTCTTGTTATATTACTCTGCTCCTATATGAGGGGGCTTCAAAACGTTTGTGGAAAAATTGAATGAAAAAATAATATAATTTTTTATTTCTTTTTTCCACAAGCTTTTTGAAGCCCCTTCATATTTTCTGCCCCCAGCCAATCTCTCTGGGATTTCCTTTTCTGAGTGGCATTCTCCACAGGCCCATGCTCAGGAGGTCGGGGAGAGCTATATATTCCATGTGGTGTTCTCTCCTGGGCCCCAATCCCAATTCCATATGAAGAGACCCTTTCTGTCCTTAAAAGTAGTGCCTTGGGGGAGGCATCACTCGAAATAATTGTGATTACACAACTCATTTTAAAGGTGATTTAACAGGGGGGGTGGGGGTGGGTTGTTCTAAAATTGATTGTGGTAATGATTGTACAATTCTTCTTGATATTTTTTCTTGACATTATTTATTATTGAACTATTGAAATGTATGATATGTGGATTAGGTGTCGATAAAACTAATTTTTAAAAAAAAAGGTAATCCCTCATGCATCCTCCAGGTACAGGTATCTATGATGCTTCAATCTCTCTCTCTCTCTCTCTCTCTCTCTCTCTTTTTCTTAACCCCCAACTTTTAATTTTGGAAAATGTGAAACCTATAGGAAAATTGCAGGACTAACACACACCTGCATTTCCTTCCCTGAAATGCACCAGCTATGAACGATCAGCCACGTTTGCCCTCGCCCACTTACTCCTCTTGCCTACATTGCCAGCGTCATGAACCTTACCCCAAATACTTCAGCATATATAAGGGAGCTTCAGCAAGTTCATGGAAAAACAGAATAAAAAGAGAATGGAATTTTCCCATGAGCTTGCTGTAGCTCCCTGCTATATGGGAACAAAGGAGGGGCCCCAACATAGTCACAACAGTGATCTCACTCAAGGCCTTCATCACTGTGCGGAACTACTAATGTACAGCCCATACGCCAAACTTTCCAGGTGTTTCAAACATGCCCCTTGATAGTGTGTTGTTGATTTGATTTAATCTAAGATCCAAGGTGGGATCACATAGCTGTCATCTCTCTGGAGTCTATTTTAATCTGCAGTAGGGGACAGTGACAAAGCCCTTTTTGAAAAACTCTAGGCAAGTATTTTGTAGCATTCACACCCAAGGTCAGTATTTTGTAGCATGTTCTCCCAATTTAGATTTGTCAGATTTTCCTCATGATTCAAAACTCAGCTCATGGCCGTCAAGTCTTTCTGACTCACAGCGACCTTACACATTCGCAGTTCAAAACATAGCCGCTACACCACCAGGGCTTATGGAAACACCTTTCAGGTCATTCTAGAAAAGAGTGGGCAAGTTGCTCCCTCTACTGGTGTGGTAGTTGGCTCGCTTATGCATTCAATGGTGAACAAATAAGCAAGCTACCATTGTTAGGGTGATATTATATAACTCAATACCAGAGACCTGGTGGTGTAGTGGGTTGTGCCTTGGGCATCTAACCGAGAGTTACAGTCTCAGAAACCCACAGTGGCAGTTTCACCCTGTCCTATAGGGTCACGATGAGTCAGCAGTGAGAGTGTGAGCTGCTTTCAAATCAGTTTGGCATGGGAAAGTGATTCCCTGCGCATGAAAAGGCAATGGTGCTCAGAATTTTGCCCCCAAGTGAACTTGAGGTTTACCGGAGAGTCATAAATATTTTTAAGGGATTGTACATCAGATTCCTGCTGCAGTTCATAAAACAGATGTCTAGAGCAATCAGCAATTATGCAGAGCTTTAAAAAAAGCACACCAAGCTCACTGCCATCAAGTCAGTGCCAACTCATAGCAACGCGATAGGGCAGGGTGGAACTCCCTCTGTGAGTTTTCGAGACTGGAAGTGTTTACAGCAGAAAGCCGTGAGTGTCTCCCGAGGAGCTGCTGATGGTTTTAAACTGCGGACCTTGCAGCTCGCAGCCCAGAACATAACCACTACCCACAACACCACCAGGGATCCAAACCTACAGCTTAGAAGATGTGATTCTGAACCCACTCTGGTATTGGGTGAGTGGGTGCCAACATTGGCCATTTTGTTGACCATTGTGGTGTCTCCATTTAGAAGGCTCCTATAAGGAATTTAAGCAGAGTCGTGTGCAGCTGGGGATCATGGTGGCTCAGTGGTACAAGTTCCACCTTCTATGTGCGTGGCATAGTGGTTTTGCGTTGGGCTGCTAATCACAAGGTAAACACTTTGAAACCACTAGCCTGTTCCGCTGGAGAAAGAGGAGACTCTCTACTCCTGTAAAGAGTTACAGTCTCTCCCCTCAGGACCAATAATGAGAGTAGCAATACCATGAGGGTAGGGGGAAAAGGGGGGAACCGATCATAATGATTGACATACAACCCCCCCACCCCAGGGGGGACGAATAACAGAAACATGGGTGAAGGGAGACAGCCGACAGTGTAAAATATGAAAATAAAAATAATTTTTAATTTTCAAGAGTTCACAAGGGGTGGGGAGTGGGGGGGCAGAAGGAGGGGAAAAAGGAGAACCTGATACCAAGGGCTCAAGTAGAAAGAAAATGTTTTGGAAATGATGATGGCAACATGTGTGCAACATCCGATACAATTGATGTATGGATTGTTACAAGAGCTGTAAGAGCCCGCAATAAAATAATCTATTAAGATAAAATAAAAAGTTCGAGTTGCAGGAACTCACAGGGGTAATTCGACCTTGTCCCATGTGGTTGCTCTGAGTCAGACTCAAGGGCAGATGAAGGTTTGATCCCTGGTCACTGTGTCCCTTGCACAGCCACAACCCACCTGCCAGAAGAGGCTTGCAGGTTTCCAAGATGTGGAATCAATTTCAGCAGAGATGGACTAGGAAGAAAGGCCTGGCAACCCACTAGCGGAAACCAGCCAGTGAAAACTGGATGGAGCAGGATGGCCCTCCTGTGGTGCCTGGGACCACCTTGATGCCAACTCACAGCTATGAGGAGCCCTTTGTGCACTTCAGATCCAGGCCAACCTCATTCAGCTAGCCAGATGGTGGCATGTCACTTTGTTTCGGTTACCAAGACACCGCCACAATGCCACACCGTCAGCATTTCCCTAAACTGGATCACTACATTCTAAAAATGGTAACTTCCCCAGTTAGATCCCGTTCCTTCTCGTCACCACTTCATAACGAGCCTGTGGAAGCAGCTGATCTTAAGACTGAAGTGGCGTACTCTGGGTTGATCCCTGAAACACACCCCTACCCTCACCCCACTCCCGAAGCTCCCATTATCTTTAGAAATGGCTTGGTTTCCATTTTTGCCACACTATACTGTTTTACTCCAGGAGAACTAACAATCCTGATTTGACAGAGAGATGAAGCCAGAAAACCTGGACACTATTCCCAGCTCTAGTATGACCCAAGTCCGCATAGAGAGGAGTACTGGTGGCCCTCTAGGATAAGCTTAGGTAAGCAGTCCCCGACTACTATTTGAAAATCTTTATGGGACTAGAAAGCCTCATCTTTCTCCCTCAGAAGGGCTAGTGGATTTGAGCTGCTGATCTTGATGTGAGCAGCTCAATGCACATCACTCCATGACACTATAGCTCTTACATAAGAACCATATGTACCTTTCCCGATTTCCCTACAAGTTCAACATAAAGACACTCTAGGGGTGAATCTCATTCATAACCTGGGAGTGCCAGTAATAGGGCTCCCAACTGGTTCATGCCAGTTTGATCCCTTGCTGAGAAGTTGCCTTTCCACCCCAGAGGAACTGAATCAGAATCTATATTCTCAATCACCTGGGGATCTTACTGAAATACAGGTTCCGATTCAGTACATCTGGAGTGGAAATGAGGAAATGCAAGGCTTCAGAGTAGAACCAGAAGGAACCAATTTGAAGCCCTGAATAGAATACAATGCAGCTGCCCCAAAGGATGAGGCGGCTCTCCCTTCAGATCGGGAAAGAGCCCCAGGTCTGTGGGCCTCAAAACAAAGCAAAAAGACACACTGCCACCCAGTCCATTCCGACTCAAATCAAAGATAGGGTTTCTGAGGCTTTAACTCTTTATGGGACGAGACCAACCCAAACCAAACTTACTGCCTTCAAGTTGATGCCGACTCATAGTGACCGACCATACAGGACAGGGTAGGCTGCCCCTGTGAGTTTCTGAGACTACTAATTCTCTGCTGGAGTAGAAAGCCCATCTTTCTCCTGTAGAGTGGCTAGTGGTTTCAGACTGCTGGTCTTGCAGTTAGCAGCCCACCACGTCAACAAGATATATGTGTGGTAAGTGAAAAAACTAGATGGTGAACATTATACTTATTGTGAGCCTTTGTGTTTTGTTTTGTTTTTTATAAAAAAATAAAGGAATATGCATTCAGATGTGTTTAGATTTGCATTTTAAAATGCCAGCCTCTGGCTGGAAGCACTCGCTCACTTCACAAACGTCTACAATCAGCATCTGCCTTCGGGCTTTCTCTGTTCCCCACCCACACAGCAACTAATATAAGCGATTCCCTGTAGACCCCTGGGTGGGAACTGGGCATGTGGGGGCAGGAGCAAAGGTACACCTCTCACCATCCACAGTTGTAAGATTTTAAGAGTTTCAAATGCAAGGATAATCCTTATTCAGAACATTTGTTATTTTAAAAGTGAGTCCATGGGTGGTACAAACAGGGCTGTGCTCAACTACTAGCCGAGAGGTGGGTGGTCCAAACCCATCCAGAGGTGCTTCGGAAGAGAGACCTGGTGACCCCTCTGCAAGGGAAAGGTCCTTGTCCTGAAAAGCCTCTGGAGCACAGTGCTACTCTATAGTCCTTGGCCACCGTGAGGCGGATGAGCGGGAGAACAAATACCTAGAGCATTTTCAGCATCTCAGTCTGGAAGCACCACTGAATCCTGTCCACCATGGATGACTCTGTGGTATTTGGAATACCGCCAGCAGCATTTCCAGTAAGAACCACAGACTTCTTCCTAAGAGCACAGTGGAATTGTTGGGAAAAGAGAATACTCAAGGAAGTTGCCGGCGCTCTTCCTCCCGGCACAGAGGTAATGCCACACAAGTGAGTGGCGAATGGCTCGCTCCCTGCCGAGGATGGCACTGGCCCTCAGAGGCCCAAAGGCTGCTCGCCACTGTGTCCCCAGCACCCAACATAATGCCTGACCTTTGGCAGTCACTTAAGAAATAACTTGAAAAATGAATAACAATGATGTATTATTTGGGGGAATATAATCAGGGTGTTCTTAATAAACTTTCTCTGAGCTTCTGAATAAGTTTGACAAAGTTGGTACAAGAGAAAAGGGATAATATTTGAACAGGTACTAACCCTGGGCCCCCCAGAAAAGCCAGTCTGGACGCATCACCTTGACAAAGGATTCCTGAAATTGATGAACGGCAAGAGGTCTTTTGGGGTTCGGTAACCTCCTATCCCACTAATTGTCTGTCTACCTATAGTGTTATGTGTAGTGGTTTGCATGCTGCTGTGAAGCTATGCTAAGTACTGGCTGGGTCACTCATGGTGGAAAGGTTTTAGCAAAGCTTCCAGACTAATGCAGACTCGGCAGAAAAGCCTAGAGACCTACTTCTAAAACATTAACCAATGAAGACCTGAAGGCTCTCAGAAAAGGATCCTGTTTAGTGCTGAAAGATAAGCCCCTACATTGGGAGCAAAATGAAACCAAACCAGTGCCACTGAGTTGACTCCTACTCATAGTGACCCTGTAGGACAGAATAGAATTATTCCTTTGGGTTTCGGAGGAAAAAATCCATCTTTTTCTCATGGATTGGATGGTGCTGCTAACCCACTGCCACTGGGGCTCCTTCCTACATTGGAGGGAACCCAACACACACAGGACTGCCACCAAGGATTCAGGCATCTGATTGTGAAGGTGACCCATGGCTGCGCACTCTGTTGTTCCCCATGAGTGGGAGCCAACTCTAAGGCGCTACCACCACTGCTACCTCCTCCTCATCTTACCTTTGAATTCATGGCATAGATGCCCCAGAGAATGTGGAATGTTACCCCTCGGCAACTCTTGCCAGGCAGCCCCATTCTGGACACCCGCAGCTCACTCCCTGGGGACACGGTTGGGCAATCCACATGCTCACCGGACTTACCATGAGGTTTTATTATTGGCAGTAATTCAGTGCAGACATTTCTCGTGGCAAAGAAGTTTGTCTTCAGTGTCATCTCAGCCTGGATGTCGAAGGGGGTTGGATCATCAACTTTCACAAAGAGAAGAAAACAAAGAGAACATCATAGATCCACCCTGAAATCCATATGCCCAAGCGGATCTTAAGGCATAAAAATCAAATAAAAGGAAATTACTTTACGACAGCGTTTAGACACTGTCCCACCCACCCACCACCCACCCCCGCCAGTGGTTCACAAGCTAGTGTGTGCATCAGAATCACTTGGAGGTCCCCTTAACACCAGATCTCTGAGCTCTACCTAGAGTTTCCGATTCAGCAAGTCTAGGGCTGGTGGGGCTTTCTGGGAGGTGAAATCCATTCATGTGGTTGGAGGTTGCACTGCAGAGGAAAGGCCTGGTGATCTACTACAGAAAGCAGCCACTTTGGAAAGCCCCAGGGAGCACAGTTCTACTCTGACAGCAGTGGGGTCAGGGCTGGGAGGGTATCAACTGCAGGGCAGCTGCAGGTCGAGGTTGGGATTTGAGACTGTGCAACAGGTTCCCAGGAAATGCTGCAGCTACTAATGTACGAGTTCCACTCGGAGGACTCCTAGCTTTGAACACTGAGCTGAGGCTGCATCAGCAGGCTCCTGGGAAACGCATACAGCTCATGATTCGGCAGGTGAGACACGAGGTGATGCAGACGCTGCTGTCCAAGGCCCACTTTACCAGGCTCCAGGGCTCTGCGAGCCCATCTACAGTCTCACCTGATGTCTGGGGCGCGCCAAGGCCAGCTCCCCTTCATTTCCCACCGCTCCAGGATAGGAGCCAGAAAACACCTCGGGCAGGGTTGCAGGTGCGGATGAGCTGCGCCACCTTGGGCCTGAGTGACAGGGCTCAAAAGACTGGCTTCCACTCCAGAATCATTCGTTTATCCCTGTTCTGCCTCTTAGAGCTAGCTAGCAGGCATCCGCTGGGCATTAGATCGGTTATAAGTGAAGCAAGCTTGTTTGTTTCTTTGCAAACCCTAGCACATGGTAGCTCGGTGGCTTTCTTAAAATACCTAATTAGAATAAACCCCAATGGTAGAGGCTATTTAAAACCACCCCTACTAAAGTCGGATGTCAACCATTACTTCTCTCGGGGAGGGAGCCAAGCCTCGCTTCCTTTCGCCCAGAGCCTATCAAAGCTCTCTGTCAAAGAAAGGCTAACGTCCGGCTCTAAAGTGCCGGGGCACTCGAATGAATCTGGCCCTAGTGCTGCATTTAGCGCTGCATTTCCTGTGCGGAGCCCACAAATCTGGCGTCTATGAATGCGCCCTTTCAAGGAAAGCGAAAGCCCCGAGTGAGGCTGGAGACGCTTTGCTTAGCAAATGTTTCTGGCATCGTGCAGAAAAGCTGATGAGCTTAGCAGGGCGGGGTCCCTTCCCTGGAGTCCGGTTTTCTGGCGAACCGCTGCGGCTGGCTGGTCGGGCGGCGCACAGGCTCGGACAGGCCGGGGGACAGGCGGGGCGCGCGGGGCGGGCGGCCTCCTTTCGCACAGCGAGCCACCCCGAGAGCTCCACGCAGAGCCGCCCTCCTGGGGAGGCGAGAGCTGAGCGCGTCCCGAGCGGTGGAAGCGGCTCTCTCGATCACCCAAGAGCATGAGGGCGCTTGCCCGGCACCCTCGGACCACCCAGGGACCACTTGCCTCCCCGCACCTACACTTGAAGGCGATGCCCGCGTTGTTGACCAGCACGTTCAGCCCGCCGTACTCGCGGCGCAGGAAGTCCCGCAGCGCGCGGATGCTCTGCGGGTCGTCGATGTCCAGCTGGTGGAAGCGCGGGTTCAGGCCCTCCGTCTGCAGCTGCTGCACGGCCGCCCGGCCGCGCTCCGCGTCCCGCGCCGCCAGCACCACGTCCCCGGAGAAGTGCCGGCACAGCTCGCGCGTGATGGCGAAGCCGATGCCCTTGTTGGCCCCGGTCACCAGCGCCACGCGGCTGCAGGACGACATGGCCGTGTGGAGGGGCGCGCGGGGGACCTGCACTGAGAGCTGGCCAGAGTCTGTGAAGCAACTCAGAGCTAAGTTTTGGAATCCTGGGTTGTCTCTGGGAAAGCCAAGCTACCCAGCCTCAGTCCCTCCCATCTGAGGAGGGGCAGTCACTTGTAACGCCCCCTCCCGATCTCCACTTCCCTTCTCGCTGCGCCGCCTGGCCGGGGCACAGGGAGACGCACCCATCTCTCATTCTGGTCTTTCAGCCTAGCGGGGGTCTGAGAATGGTGTCTTTTCCCCAAAGGAAAGCCAGTCGGTGATGAGTCAATTGGGGGCCAGAAACTCATGGGAGCTGGACTGATGAAACAATTTTGGGAGAACCCCAAAAGCAGAAAAAACAAGTGCTGAGTAATTCTCTTGGGTGGCTGCCCAGCGTGCACTGCAAAATGGCAATGCCTGTTCTTTTTTCTAAGATGTAATGAACTGTTCTTAGATAGGGTAACTGCTGCTGGGGACCCGGGGACCCAGTTTGCTTAGCAGAAACTCAAAGTGAGAGCCACGGAAAGAAAAAAATCTTGTGACTTCCAGCTGTGGGCTGGGTACCTATCCCTGTGTGATGCCCATTGTGGCATCAAATGGGAGGGAATCTTTATGTAATTCTTACTGTGTGCCAGGAGTTGTCTTGGGATGCTTCTTACTTCCTATTTACCTAACCCCTCTGAGTGCTAAAAGTCTACATTTTAGGTTTGTTGAAGGTCATTTAATAAGTGAAAACACACACACACACATGCACACACGCACACACATGCTCCCCATCAGGACTGTGTACCAACAAACAAAGCTCAACTGAAATTAATCCCTAAAGGCGTGTCAGGGTGTGGGTGCAAAATAGAACTCCCCGCCCACTTTATCCTCCGGCGTAATCCAAGTGTGTTTGATTATTGCCTGAGAGCTTCTGTGCCCTCATCGTGAATCAGCTTTTCCCAAGCAGAGCTGGCTGAACTTCGAGCGCCCCTGTCACCCTGACTCCACGTTCTCCATCAAGTCAAGGCCATCACTGAGGTCTGGAAGGTGGGCCAGGCCACTAGGGCTTCCCCTAAGGATTACTGTAACTTTGTTTTTAAAGATTTAGGATTACACAGGCTGCCAATATCTTCTAGCGTGAGCTTAGTTTTGTTTTGTTTGTTTTTAAAGAATCTGTGCATGTCATCGAAGTTGACCACTCTGTCTGCGTGACGCTCTTCCTAATATGCCCTCCACCATATGCCCTCCACCGTAGAATCCTGCCTTCCACGTGGGAAACCCTACTCTTTGGTTCCCACTTGGAGCACAGTCACCACCCATCTATCAGTGAAGGCTGCTTGCACGGTGTTATGATGCTAAACAGGTTTCAGCGGAGCTCCTGGACGGAGACCAACAAGGAAGAAAAGCCTGGAAGTCTACTTCTGAAAACCAGAGAGCGAGCCCCTGTGAATCATACTGGTCTGATGCACACCAAAGAACCCGGCAGCGTTGGGTTCTGTTGTGCATGGGGTCAGCAACAATAACTCTTTTTAATATCTGTGCTGATGACACCTCTCTCATTCCTGTGAATAGGTCGTTTGTGTCATATATATATAGATATATATGTTAGTGCCATCAATTCAGTTCTACCACATAGCGACATAGCTATGTAATCAGATGCACATCACATCCATACACATATATAATAACTTTTCTGGTCTAGAAATTTTGATTTTTTTAAGTAAAAATATCATAGTACCTTAGAAGTATTCAGAATGTCAACAAACATTCTTAGGATTGCCTGTGCGTGCCGAGTATTGTTTTATTTCGCTCAAGAGGCATAGAGTTGCCCAATGGGGGCCAGGCATGCGCTGTCTCTTGTACTGCCGAAATCTTGATTGTTTCAGGGAACCAGCCTTTAGTTTCATCTATTCACCACCACTGCCTCCAGCACCTCCTCCTCCTCCAGGCCTGCCTCCCCGCATGATGTTTCTGGCTTCACTGCTTTCTGATCACTCTTTCTTCTGCTGGCGTTGGATTTCATTGGCTCTCTTACTATATTCTTCCTGTGCAGGCTGAGCTTACCATGTTGAGTCCGGTTCCTTTTCCAAAAGTAGGCATCCACCTTTTATCAACTTCCCACTAAGGACGGCTGTAGTGGCGTTTCACAAACATGGGTATGTTTTGACCGTTACTCAGTTCAAACTGCTTTCTAATTTCCCTTTGGCTATCTTTTTAACTTTTTTTTTCTAGATACAATTTCTAAATTCAATTCCCAGGTATCTGCAGTTGACTTGTCACTCACTTCCATGATGGTCAGAGAACAGACTTGTGTGACGTGAATCCTTTTAAAAAGATGTCAACAAACAGGAGAGAGATGTTTAAACCTGTTTTGAGGTCAATGGCAACACTCTCAGAGAGGGGCTAACAAGTGATGGACAAGAGGAAGGGAATGACTGAACCAAATCCACGGAAGGTGAGGGTGGATGGTGTCCAGGGCTCAGAGAGGGGGGAGTGCGCTTGAGCAGCAGGTTCCTCAAAATAGGAGAGAAGGCAGAATGTGCAGTTCACTTGCAGGCACGTTGAGGAACCTGAAGTGGTATTTCTTTTCTCTTTGGAAGGTTTAGAGATTTAAGATAACCAGTTGAGAGAGATTAGCTTCAGACATCTGAAGGAAGAATAGCTGTTTTTGAATAATGAGTATATGAATTTATTAGAGGATGAGGCAGTGTTGACTTGCCAAATTGGGGTCCATTTGGGATCTTAACTCATCAACAGCAAGAGAGTCCCATGTCCTAAGCATTCATTGTCCAGCTGCTAGTGCAGGTAGGGAGGTGTGGTGGTCAAGCCAGGCTAATAACAGCATTAAGGGCCTGGCTTAGTTTCCAAATGTTGCACTAACAGAGATGTGAGCAGTGGGTGGCCTTAAGGAACAGAGAGCTATTTTCTCACCATTCTAGAGGCTGAGAGTTCAAATCAGAGTCTCAGTCATGTCAATTCCTTCCTTGTAGACAGTTCTAGGAGCTCATGGTTCTTTGACAGGTAGATGTCCTCACGTAACACTCACTGTGTGGGTGGGCTCATTAGAGTGTTTAACCTAATCTTTTAATAACTCATAAGTGATTAGGTTCATTTTATCTATTTTTTTAAAATTTGTTTTGTTGACATATAATTCATATGTCATCTAATTCAATTAATATATTTGAAAGTTAAGCAATCATCACTACAATCAATTTTAGAACACTTTCTTCGTGTTTGTGCTCAGTTATTAGCTCTGTTTTTCCACCCAGCCTCCCCTGTCAGAACTGTAAAGAACTATTAATCTAGTCACTGTCTCTATGGATCACCTATCCTAGCTTTCCTATGAAGACAATCATAAGAAAAAAATTACCACCAACAAAATAAAACATAGAAAAAAAGTCAATCCAAGAGAAAGCAGAAGATAATAGAAAATAGAAAAATTCCAGGCCTTGAGGACGATGATCCCAATTAGAGCAGCCAGTCCCCAGAGAGGACCACATGGCCAGCCCCACTGTGGGACATGACGCCCCTCACTGACCCATGGCCCAGCGGGGGACAGCACCTGAGATACAGTATGGGAATTGTGCCTGATCTGATCCTGCCACACCAAAGCAAAGCACT